AACCTCCTCTGAGACCCCAAACCACCCCCAACTCACCCCAAAAAACCCCATAACCTCCTCTGAGACCCCAAACTCACCCCAGAAAACCCCATAACCTCCTCCAAGACCCCAAACTCACCCCAAAAAGCCCCATAACCTCCTCCAGGACTCCAAACCACCCCTAATTCACCCCAAAAAAACCCACAACCTCCTCTGAGACCCCAAACTCACCCCAGAAAACCCCATAACCTCCTCCAAGACCCCCAAACCACCCCCAACTCACCCCGTAACCTCCTTTGAGACCCCAAAACACCCCCAACTCACTCCAAAAAAACCCCATAACTTCCTCTGAGACCCCAAACCACCCCTAATTCACCCCAAAAAACCCCATAACTTCCTCTGAGACCCCAAATTCACCCCAAACAATCCCATAACCACCTCCAACACCCCAAACTCACCCCAAAAAAACCCATAACCTCCTGTGAGACCCCAAACTCACCCTAAAAAAACCCATAACCTCCTCCAAGACCCCAAACAACCCCATAACCTCCTTTAAGACCCCAAACAACCCCATAACCTCCTTTAAGACCCCAACCCCTTCATCACCAACCCCACAACACCCCCAAAACCCCATTTTTTTTTCATTTTTTAAATTTTTTTTATTTTTTTTCTCCCCCTCACCTTGGCCCCTTGGCGGATGGCGGTGATGCAAGCGGGGTCCACCAAAGGTTTGGGGCGCCGCGCCGATTCCTCCAGCAGCCCCTGCCACTGGCGGGGCAATCCCGTAAAACGCTGCTCCGAGGGGTCGTAACCCGTGTGGACGCGGTGCTCGAAGTTGGATGGGGCTGAAATCTCCACCCGTTTCTTTTTTTTGGAGAACATGGTACGGGATGGGATGCTGGGAATGGGGAAAATGGGAAAAGTTTGGGTAAGGTGGGGGAAAAAGAGAAAAGGAAATTGTTAAAATCTCGGTTAGAATGGGAGAAAAGGAAATCGTGGTTAAGGTGGGGGAAAGGGGAAAAAAATTCTGGTTAGGGTGGAGGAAAAGGGAAAAAAAAATCGGGGTTAGGATGGGGGAAAAGGGGAAAAAAAAAATCACGGTTAAGGTGGGGGAAAAGGGAAAAAAATCGGGGTTAGGGTGGGGGAAAGGGGAAAAAATCAATCCTAAAAATCCCAGTTAGGGTGGAGGAAAAGGGGGAAAAAAATCCCAGTTAGGGTGGGAGAAAGGGGGAAAAAAAAATAGGCAAAATTTCGGTTAGGGTGGGGGGAAAACTCTTAAAAGTTGTGGTTACGGTTGGAAAAAAAAAATGGCAAAATCTTGGTTAAGATGGGGGAAAGGGGAAAAAAAATCCCAAAATCCTGGTCAGAGTGGGGGAAATGGGAAAAGGAAATTCCCAAAAAACCCAGTTAGGGTGGGACACATGGGGAAAATAAAAACCAAAAAAACACCAAAATGCAATGTGAAAAATCACCAAGAATGGGATCAGGTCCCAAAAATTCCCCAAATTTGTTGGACCCATTTTTATCCATCCCTCGGCCGCCTTCATCCGATTGACAAAAAAAAAAAAAGAAAAGGGAAGTGGCGCTGAATTTCTGGGTGAATTTCCCGGGATTTTGTGTCAGATTCCCCGGGGAAAAAGAAAAAACACAAAAAAAACCCCAAAAAAAAAGAAAAAAATACGGGAAGAGGCACCGAATTTATGGGTGAATTCTCCGGGATTTTGGGTCAGATTCCCTGGGGAAAAAGGAAAAACACAAAAAAAACCCACCAAAAAAAAAAACGAGAAGAGGCGCCGAATTTGTGGGTGAATTCCCGGGATTTTGGGTCACATTCCCGAGGAAAAAGGGGCCGGGAAAGGCAAATTCCAGCCGGGAAATTCGAGTCGGACTGGCCCGGCTGGATTTACCGGAGGAGGAGGAGGAAAAAAAGGAAAAGGAGGAGGAGGAAGAGG